TTGAATTCTGTCTTCCCCGACCTCCAGTTCACGATGAAGGAAGAAAAAGACTGCCAGTTGCCGTTCCTCGCCGTGCTAGTGTGCAGAGAAGACGGTGGGGAGCTCAAAACAACATTTTGTAGGAAGGAGACTTATACCTCTCGCATCCTGAGTTACCTCAGAAACCATCCCGTCTCGCACGAACGTAGCTGCGTGCGAACGCTATATCGCCGTGTAGAAACCCACTACAGAGAACCAGCCGACCAGAAGGCCGAGGTCCAGTATCTGCGGAAAATCTTCACAATGAATGCCCATTCTGGTGCATTCGTCGAAAAATGCAGGCAAAGGGGGCCATACGAAGAAAACCAACGGGACAGCCAGAACCGACACGCTGGCGAGCAATACCCTATAACAGGACAGCCAGAACCGACACGCTGGCGAGCAATACCATATATTGCTGGTGTTTCTGAAGAATACGCACGACTGTTTAGCGAATTTGGGATTGGCGTTGCTCACAGACCGGAAGCAACAATCCGCAGACAACTTATGTTGCCCAAGGACCCAGAACCCGTTAACGAAAAGTCCAGTGTCATTTACCGTATTGACTGTCTTTGTGGTGAAGCCAAGTATGTTGGTGAAACCGGCAAACGGGTTCTCAGGGGGATCCACCAGCATGAACTCGCTGTGCGACGGAACGACAAGCTTCCCCTGGTGGTCGTCCACGCATCCATGCCAGGGCATGGCTTCAACTTCGAACGCGTGCAAATACTGGGTCGGTCAGACGACCGCACTTCACGCCTGCTGCAGAAAGCATAACATTCACGAGCGGACTCAATTAACAGGCATATCGAGCTTCCTGATGCCTACCTCGCGTTGCGCGAGCAGATCGAGGGCAGAGGTCAATCTCCACAGAACCGACTTAAATACACTGTGAGCTGTACGTTTTTCATTCCTTGACAATTAGCTAGCGGGACGGTTCGAAACATTGGACAAATGCACTCCTGGTCCCACAGAACGTCTTACCTTCTTCTATATATATGATATAGGCAGAAGGACATTACCAGCAAAGACATGGGATACTAGGAGGACCTTTTCTGCCTCATTCGACGTCATCGGCTAGTGATTCCGAACCCGTTTGGCGCTGAAATTGCTGCCGCACCGAGATTTGAACTCGCGATCTGTCCTGTCAGGTCGAACGTCCTAACAGTTGAGCTACGAGCTCACGGTCTTGCCGGTGTTAGATCGGGGATATACATTGGCATGCATGCATACACCGATCTGTTAGAGGACACACTCGTCCGTCCATGTTGCCATTAGAGCTCTCGCTCGAGCCTCCACCGCGAAGCGGCTAGGATATAGGAAGAAGGACATTATCAGCAAAGACATGGGACATTAAGAAGGCCTCATTAGGCGTCATTGGCTAGTGATATCCAACCCGTGTGGCCGCTGAAATTGCCGCCACACCGAGATTTGAACTCGCGATCTCTCCTGTCAGGGCGAACATCCTTCTGCCTTGATGATGTAGTCAGTCTTTTCCATGAGGTTTGCGCTAGCTTTGTCGGCAGACATAATAACTATCCTGTTATCAGTCTTTAGAGCCCGTTATCCGCTTTCGTAATCGATGGGCAAGACTTGGTGGCGTTTTTTGGGAAAGAGACCAGAAGCACAGCTGCGAATCTCCACAGGCGTCTCCTCAGGCACTACAGAGGTCAGCAGGACTGAGTAAAGGCTCGCGAGCAAGTTCGTGGGTGTAGTATCGGTTTCGACAAATCGAAAATCTGCCGCATCGTTTTGATTTACAAGTCAAAAGGGAGTATCGTACCTCTGTATATAGCGTACACATCACGACACAGATCAGATACGGATTGATATACACCACTTTGGGCCTGGTACATTTTATTCAGCCAGTCATAACCCAAACCATCAGCTACGATTTGAAGCGCAAGAGGTGCACAAATACATGGTTAAGACGTTCCCCTATTCGAATAAACAAAATGTTCGTAAACGCATGATTGAGCTGAGTTTCATTAGACCATCATCATCTGCTATGCTTTACCAGTTAAGATCCATTCGTCGTTCGAACGGTAAATAAACTCTTTAGTTTCTTCGTTGGTGTAAACTGTTGCAGCCTGAAATATCTGCTCAGTGTATGTCGTGTCTAATTACTTCGATAGTCGGATGCTTACTATGGGAGGTTTCATAAGCAAAGTCTTCCGTCTAGCCAGTCTTGTTTATTTGACAGTCCTCCTTGTCGAATTTGCGAGTGTTTACGCAGTTTCGTGTCATAGGCGAAGCCCTGGTTTTAGTCTATGAGAAGCTTCGCCATGAAAACTTTCGCTAAAATGTGCACATTCCAATAAATTTGCTTGTTCTAACTTATCGTCATAACGGAGTTTTTTAAGGTTAGCCTCCCTTTTTGTCTAATAGCAGCCAAGAACACCGGCCCACATAAATAAGTGTCAATGAATGCGCAAAGCCCAGGTTTATATCTCTGAGAAGCATTGCTTGAGAGGTTTGCTAATAAATACATCGTTCAGTTAATGTTGGAGTTGTAGGTTAATCATAAAAATAAGACTTTCCAAGTTAATTGTCCGTTTTTCATCCTACAGTCCCCAAAAGCCTCAATGTGACCACAGACGATACATTGATTCACCTTCTGTATTGATGATCACAGGTGCATTTATGGTACCGATCATTATCAGGCTCATAAAAAGTGGCAAGTTCAGCTCTCTGCACTTTTCCAGCTTTAAGACTTGCATCTTCAAGAATTCTCATCAAGTAGAGCAAGGCCACATTTCATAGACACTTTCTAAGATATAGGTTAAGCGTATTATGCGGACTGCAGTTGTTTAATATACAGCGGACTAAAATACTCCTGTGGACATGCTTAATAAGTCCGTCCCAATATTATGCTAATACTTTTTATTGCGACTATCCATATGAACTACGGAACTGTGGAGATATAGTTAAGAACACTTGGAACAAATGCAGTACCAAGAATTAAAGGTATCGCAAGAAAGTAATGGCATTTAAAACCACCATAAATTGCCATTATGCAGCACAGCCGTGCTGTGACGACAACGTATATCCCTATATGATTCTAGCCGATCAATGCAGGACAGAAGAACTGGTCATTTCAAGCTTACTAGCTGTCATCAGGTAGTAATAATAGGTGTGGACTACCTAGAATTCCAGGGCGGATATTTGCTAATTGATTCGAAAGTTAAATCCATGAATAAAAGGCTCGTTTTTCTGTCGTTTGACATGCTCAGCCCGTTCTGCTCTGTGCTGAAAATTAGAGTTATCGCAGATAGGTTCACGTTGACTTGTAATATGTGCAGGTGTTGTAACTCATGAAATGCAATTATTTTCACAAGAAATTATGGGTGACCCAAATGCAACTTAGGTTGACTCCCTGAAAATCGTACAGCAGTAGAGTGATGGTCTTTCTTCAAAAATAAGGCATTTGCGGTTTATCAAGTAATGCTACGTTGTTTAGAAATGCCAGCTGTTTTAGAAATGCGGAAATTTCCGTTAATTGGAAATCAGGCGTACTAGGTAAACAAAATTTTTAAATTTGGAGAAAGCTTTTTCATTCAAAAAAGGGTTAGTAAAGCAGCCCAAGTGGACATTCCTTGGAAAGAAATACTTTTGTAAAAGATTCAGATACATATGCTTCCATACTACACGAAATATAACGTATGACCGTTACCGAACACCAAACAGTTCAGGTTGCTATTCCAACATGTTTGCATGATAATTGCTGGTTATTTTTTCCATGTATAAATTATTGCAGTTACATTGGACTAAACCAACCAGATTTGCGCCTGATTGCGCGGATTGGAAAGTCATAGAAGTAGGATATTTGGTGAGCTCATGTACGCAAATACCGGTTAAGGTATAGTAAAGTTACCGAAAATGTCAGGTGCAATCGTTAACGTACCATCTTGTGAATATTTGTGCTTCACATTTGCTTGCGCTTATTTCTGGATTTAGATTGCGACGAGGTTCATATCTTCATTGGAATGGGGCTTAACACTTTACGATTTTCAGCAGCTTCAGTCGATGATCCATAAAAAAAACTTTGAAAGTAATTGCCAAAAACTTCAAAATACGATGTATTAAACACATTTACCTAAATTTTCAGTTTTAGGTAATTCTTTCTAATGTACCTGTCCGATTGCGTCTTGGTTAAACACTCATCCAAACATGTCAACTCATTGCGGGGAGAAATGAATGTGCGCAACAAAATTCAAATATTAATACCCTATTCAGACTTGCGTAGAATGCATATGTTAACTTTATCTTTTTAATTTTGTTCTCAATCAAAAATCAATTTTATTATTTGCAAGTTAAGTATATTCACTTTACCTTGCACGGGTTTTCAAACTGGGACTCACCTACACAAAACTATGTAATTCCTCGTCAGTGGGGGTAATTATCTTCTTCAGAACGTTTGTGAAAATTCCGCCCACATCTTATTTCCGGCTACTCGGTCGTCTTATCCATTTGCTCGTCGCTGCTTGAGATTTTTTTTATTTGACTAAACTTAAAAATATTTAATTAAGTCATATTTTCGCTACATCCGGCAATTAATTGTAACATGCCGAGGACCGCATGAGCGGTGATTTGTTATTTCTGAAGACATAACGTGAAAGAGAAGCCAATGTGTATAGGGGTATTGTACGTGTTTGAAATAATAACTTTCTTTTTCTGTAAACATTTCATATAAATTTATAAACATTTATAGACATTTATTTATCTTAAAGGGCAGGTATCCCAAGAAATGTAGGCGAAACCAAAGGAATGAGACGACCAACGAGTTGGAAATAAGGGAGTTATGGGTGAATATTTTACAAATGTTCTCAATGAGATATTTGTCCCCACCGACGAGGAGTGAAACAGTTTTGCGTAGCTTATTCCCAGTTTGAAAACCTGTGCAAGTTAAAATGAAATATTCGTGCCCACACTTGCGTGGATTTAACTAATTTCAAGTCCTCTGACGTTCATGTTAAAATGGATATACCTAACTTGCAAAAGTAAAATTAATAATTGATGGAGAAAAAAATTAAGAAGACAAAGCTGACATATATCTTCTACGCATGTCTGACTGAGATAGCCTATGCGGTTGACTGTGTCGCAAACAAAGTTTCATAATTTTACCTATAGTCCACTGAAAATGAAGACTGCTTTAAACAAGACAGAGTTGCAACTATCAGAAAGGCCAGGATTATCAGGTAGTTTATTCATAGCAAATATATATATATATATATATATATATATATATCTATAAAGTATGTGAACCATACTCAATACTCATATAACATGTATATAAGAGCAAGGAACAATTACGTAGCCCTAACTGCTTTTCAAAATTGGAAGTTGAAAAATAAGCTCTTAAGTAAATTGCAGTATGTAAGTGGGCACAGATCAACAAAACAGCGCGTCTGAGTTTACCGACAGCTTGGAATAGTTACTTACACTTTGCTGTTTTAGTTGTTGTCCAACGGCGTTAATCATCGCAGGAATACTTAGCTACAGTCAGAATTTTAGAAGATATGAGTACCGAACCTTAAACTAGATAGTAAAGCAGTCAACTTTTTTAGTCGAAGATTTTTGGAAGATAGAGCGGAGGACCTGATTATGGGTAACTGATGCACACGCACAACCCAATCATTTACCTGTCATAAAGGTGGACAACATAAATTGTTAATTACTGGCCCGTTGATCTTAGAACGCTGTATAGAATTTGGCCGACTGTGCAAACGCGTGAAATGTAGGCACGATCGCCAGATATGTAGGACATTAATGTTGCT